CAGCATGGGTTCAAGTCCCAGCTTGGCTACTTAACTAGCTGTGTGGCCCCAGGCATGTTTCTTCACCTCTTTCCACCTGGGACACTCTTCTAACCCTTCACTGCAGTCACGTCTCTGCTTAAATGTCACCTGCTCAGCCAGGCCTATACTGACCCTCTATCTATAATAGCACACCCCCACCGTCTTCGGCACACCCCATGTCCCCTCACTGGAATGAAAGCTCCAGGAAGGACAGGGTTTTGTCTGTGTTGTTCCCAGATGCATTTCCATTTCCAGAACCTGATAGGCTTGGGCCCCCATTAAGCCTTTCTTGAATAAATGGGCATCATAGCATCTACCACACTGTCACTGTGAGGCTGATGTGAGTCAATATGGGCGACACACTTAGAACCTGGCACACGGCTAATGCGAAACACTCATTTTGTTATTGCCCATCAGTCACAGGGAGTGAAGGTGAACTGCCTGCAGGGACCAACAGGGGGCAGCCAGGCCTGTGTCACCTCGGGAAGGGGCTGCCAGCGAATGTGGTCACATGGGAACGTGAGATTTTTTTTTTTTTCTTAATTAGTCAAGAGAAATCCAGAAATCAGAATTTTCGATGCAATTTCCACACTTTTCAACTTTGGCAATTAATTTGAAATCTAAAAAACATGGCTGGGCGCGATGGCTCACGCCTGTAATCCCAGCACTTTGGGAGACCGAGAAGGGTGGATCACTAGGTCAGGAGTTCGAGACCAGCCTGGCCAACATGGTGAAACCCTGTCTCTACTAAAAATACAAAAAATTAGCTGGGTGTGGTGGCGGGTGCCTGTGATCCCGGCTACTTGGGAGGCTGAGGCAGGAAAATCGCTTGAACCTGGGAGGCGGAGGTTGCAGTGAGCCGAGATCTCACTCTTGCACTCCAGCCTGGGCGACAGTGCAAGACTCCGTCTCAAAAAAACAAAAGAACAAAACAACAGAAACAAAAACAAAATCACAAAACATGATGTGGGCCAAACAAAATCTATCTGCGGCTCCATGGCAGGCTGCAGGGTGTCCATCTGCAGGGGACTTGGAGTGAACAGGCAAGAAAACGTGTTTGCTGAGTGAATGGGTAAATAACTGAGTGATCAGAGACAGGGAGCTGTGCAAAGGCAGGCTGCGTGTCCCTGCAGCGCAGCGGGGAGTATCAAGCATGAGGAAGCACCCTAGTGAGGACGCTGCACACCTGGATTCTTGTCACCCAGAGGGAAGGGAGGGTGGGCGTGCACTTTCCTTAGCGGAGCGCAGTGCTCGTGCTTGAGGGGACACACTCAGAACCCCAGCCTTGCTGCCGTGGATGCAGAGTTGTCTTTTTTTGCCCTGGGGTGCGAAGTATGAAGACTAAACCCCACAGTCCTCCAGGCAGGCAGGTAAAGCGGTTTTTTTTTAGACAGAATCTCTCTCTGTTGCCCATGCTGGAGTACAGTTGCGCACTCTTGGCTCACTGCAACCTCCGCCTCTTGGTTTCAAGCAATTCTCCTGTCTCAGTCCCCTGAGAATCTGGGACTACAAGTGTCTGTCACTAGGCCCAGCTAATTTTTTTTTTTTCTTTTTGTAGTTTTAGTAGAATTGAGGTTTCACCATATTGGTCAGGCTGGTCTTGCAAACTCCTGACCTCAGGTGATCCGCCTGCCTTGCATCTCAAAGTGTAAAGTAGGGATTTTAGCCTACTTACTAACAGGCTAGTGGCAGCGGAAGGTAGGTCCCTGCTGCTGGGAGAAAGCCACTTGCCAGGCCCACCTGATATCACTCTGGAAGGAGCGAGAGGTTTGGGCACCGAGGGCAGACTCATCTCTTCCAGCCACTCTGCACACAACAGTTTCAGAGACATCGCAGGAAACCTGCAAGTTGGGTGGGGGTGTGAACTTTCAAATTTTTTCTCATCACTTTGTGAGATTTTTTTGTTTTTTGTTTTGTTTTGTTTTTTGAGACAGAGCCTCGTTCTGTTGCCCAGGCTGGAGTGCAGTGGCACGATCTCGGCTCACTGCAACCTCCACCTTCCAGGTTCAAGCGATTCTCCTGCCTCAATCTCCTGAGTAGCTGGGATGACAGGCACGCAGCACCACGCCCGGCTAATTTTTGTATTTTTAACAGAGATGGGATTTCACCATGTTGGTCAGGCTGGTCTTGAACTCCTGACCTCAGGAGATCTGCCTGCCTCGGCCTCCCAAAGTGCTGGGATTACAGGCGTGAGCCACTGCACCCGGTGATAATATTACTTCTGAATAGGAGTATCTAGGCTTTCACCATCCTGTAGTGTGCATTTATTCTCAAAAGCAGTTAGAAACAGAACAGTCACCAGCCTTCAAACAAACTAACGAACCAAGCAAGCCCAAGCCACACCTTGGAATCGCATTCTCGTCCAGAGCTTTCTTGCAGCCCTGAGGCAGCCCCGGGGATGAAGGGAGAGTGAGGTCAGAGGCCTCGACCCCTTGCTCTGAGCCACTAGTAGGAGGTGACTAGAAGTGCCTCCTGGATCACACCCCTGTCCACATCAAGCCTGCAGCAGATGAGGCGAGGCCAGTGTTACAGGTGAGACGTGGGGCCTCCCAAAGGCACGTCGCCAGCCTGGGGTCACATGGTTGCTAAATGGCAATGCCAGGAGGAAGGAAAGTCCAGATCTGCCAGGCTCTTCGTTTAGGCTTCCTTTGTCTACATTACAGGAGGCCTGAGCCTAGAGGACAAGTAGGTGAGGATGTGGGGTTGCCATGGCAATGAAAGAGGCCCTGGGCGAGGCAGAAGGCAGCCAGAGCCCTCCAGTCCTTGCTGTTCTCTCCAGGCACAAGGAGGAAGGAGCTGGACCCAGGTCGGAAGCAGCCTGGTACAGTCCACATTCTCCAGGTTGCTGTGCCCAGGAGGGGCCTCAGGGGATCGCAGGCAGCTGTGTTGATGCTCAGAGCAAGGGGTCATGACCTGGAGGTTTGTTTGAAAACCTGCATAAACATCTTCTATCAGAGGGAGAGCTTATGCTCCTTAGCCAAACAAGCTGTTGGAGATGATGTATGGTGAGGCGATTTGTTAAGTCTGAGCTGGGGCCATAAGCTCTCCCAAACCCCAAAGTCTTCTCTAGAGGAGAAGGCTTCATCTCCAGGCAGAGGATCCCAGTTTGCATCTCGCTCTCCTCGCTGCACTGAAATATGCTTCCCAGAAGCTGGCCCTGTCCCCTCAAACAGGAGCTCCATCTCGGCTGTTAGCTGGGAGGCGACCCAGACCCCACCCTTTCCCCATTGCTCGACCTTGCCTTTTATGAGCTGAAGGCCAAGATGACCCTCCTGCCCTCTGGCCTGGAGCCAGCACCTGCAGAGAAGTCTGCATTGAGAGGGAAAAGGGGGTATGGAGAAGGTGGCGGGGGAGACAGAGAATGGGGAAGGACCCTCCTCCCACAGCTGTCCCCATTGCAGAAAGTGACAATCCATCCTTTTGATGACTTGGATTGAGGTTCTTGGCGTCATTCTCAGTGTTTCTCTTTCAGTCCCAACCCTCTCCAATCTATCAAGAAATTATCTTGACTCTACCTTCAAGGTGCATCCAGAACCAGACCATTCTTCTTGCCTCCCTTGCACCTGCCTCATGCAGGCAGCGTCACCTCTGCCCCCTAATAGCTCTTCCTGCTTCTGCTCTTGTCCCCTTACAGCCCTGCAGCGAGCCCCATAGCCATGAAATCAGGTCATGCACGATGGCTGCCCACTTCTCCCCGTCAAAGCCAAAAGCCTGCAACAGGCAGCACTTTGGCACCCCCAAGAAGGGACGAAAAGGGGCGGGTGCCCTTTGTCTCTCTGCTAAGTCATCAGAGGTAAAATCATCACCAATCCCAAGAGCCTAGGGGGAACGCCGAGACGGTCATTCGAAGAACATGGCAGCCCTCCACATTCCTCATCTGCTCTTCCCTCCTCACTCCCTCCACGCCAGCCAGGCTGGCCTCAGATACACGAGCATCTCTTCTGCTTGGAACATTCTCCTCCGGTGACCTTCGAGGGTCCCTCCCAGGTCTCCTTGTCTTTGATCAAATACCACCTTCTCAATGAGGCCACTCAAATGACCCTATTGAATACTGCAACATACCCACCTTCACCCTGTCCTGTTTTTCTTTTCCACAACACTTAACACCGTCCACACCCACATCACAGAACGTAGTACGTCTACTGTTTTTGTCTGCTAGAATGTAAGCTCCCTGAGAGCAGGGCTCTCCCTGGTGTGTTCCCAGGACCTAGAGCAGTGTCTGGTATATACCAGATGCTCAGTAATTATTGAATGAATAAATGGATGGGCTGGACTTGGTGGCTCACGTCTATAATCCCAAGACTTTGGGAGGCCGAGGCGGACGGCTCACCTAAGGTCAGAAGTTCGAGACCAGCCTGGCCAACATGGTGAAACCCTCTCTACTAAAAATATAAAAATTAGCCAGTCAAGGTGGGGCATGCCTGTAGTCCCAGCTACTCAGGAGGCTGAGGCAGGAGAATCACTTGAACCCGGGAGGCAGAGGTTGCAGTGAGCTGAGATCATGCCACTACACTCCAGCCTCGGTGATAGAGCGAGACTCGATAATAAAGATGAGATGGTTTAAAAAAAAATATATATATATATATATATATATATATATATATATATATATGGATGGATGGATGAGAAAAGAAATAGCCAGGAGCTCTAGAGACGGGAGGGAAGCAGAGGGCTGGAACCCACAGAGACAGGAAGTCACCAGGGGGAGGGGCCTGAGGCCAGAAGCATAGCATCCATTTGGGCGCCAGTATCCAGATGCCCTTTGTCTCCCACTAAGTCATCGGAGGTGAAATCACCACCAATCTCAAGAGCCTGGGAGGAATGCCAAGACAGGTCACATGAAGAATGTCATGTGGCAGCCCTCCAGGAAAGAGGGTCGCCTAGGGGGACCCAGTGTCTCTGGACAGTTTATTTTACATGGGATGAATCTAAGCATCTCAGGATACACACGGAGCCAAAGAAGAAAAAACGAGATGGGATTTAACTTCCTGAAAACTCTTTATAATAATGCAGGACAACTGTATATAGCAAACGCCTTCAAAATTTAAACTCTTTAAACATTTAATTCTTCAGCGTTAATACACACAAATGCGATAACAGGGGTTGGGGGGGGCGGGGGCAGGTGGGTTGCAGCCTCCACTGGGATCAGGGTTTCAACAGTGTTACTTATAAATTATATTACATCAATTTTATTTACTGATCTAGGCAGCCAGAGGGTGGAAGGATATACAATGTGGAGGACACACATTCATACCGGGGTGAGAAGTGCTGGCGGGAGACACAGCTCTTTAACATGAAAAATGTATAAAGTATTTAGCAAAAGTTACAGAAAACAGATCAAACAAGCAAGTTTATTTTGTTAGAAAATTCCACTCTCATAGGGTTTGCTGATGTGCTCGTGTCTGTGAAGGGGTTGTCTCTGGTCATCTCCTTCTTAAGGGAAGGGAAGGGATGCTAAGTTGGGGCCCCTGTCACCAAGGATGGCTGGCGTCCCTTTGAAGGTCTGTCCCTGGATCCACACAGCTGCCTGAAACCCACAACCCCCGACAGCCCGTCTCATGCAGGTGATGCTGGAAGGGAGGTAGCCCCACTTGACAGATGAGTGCACGGAAGTCCCGACAGGGGATGTGACTTAACTTCAGGTTATGGGACAAAGGAGGCAGCAGAGCAGGGCCAGTCCTGTGCCCTCCCCCTGCATAGCAGGCTTTCCCTCTAGGTCTCCAAGTCACCCCACCCTGAGAGAGCACCCATGTGCCCTGACCTCTTTACATTCCACTGCAATCTCACTGAAGTTTCCCTCAAACACCAAGGAACAGTCCCGAACACCACATGCCATCTCCAAAGGCCATCACCCCAAGCTCACGTCACCCCCGGAGACACCTCCCAGCAAAGCCTCCTGACATTTAGAACGTGGGGAGAAGCGCACTGGTTTTTGCTGTCTGATTCTCGCTCTAACCTGCTGCAACGGGAATTGCTTCTTCACTTCCAGGAAAGCCTCAAAAGAAATACTCCTGAGAGGGAGACAAGAGTCCTCCCGAGCAAAATTCCACCCAGCAGAGTCCTGGCAGCCTCCTTGGCTCCCTACCTTGAGGCCCCGGAGGCTCAGGCTTCCTGGCCCTAATCTTCACCTGCTCTGGATCCAGAAATGTCTCTGGTTCGCATAGAGAGGCACCCAACTGGTCTCAGGGCTTACCTTTCACTGAGCAGGGGGCATGAACAAGACATAGCTTAGAGGACTGTTTACCTTGGGGGTCACACTCAGCCCAGTCTAGCCTTAGCTGGGTGTGGTCCTGTCCCTGCCACCACGTACCACCATCTGGTGGGGTGTAGGCACAGGCCAGGCTGTGTGACCACCAGCTGAGCAAGGCTCCAGCTGCGACAAAGACTCCATCTTCGTACGTTTCCTGGTTCCTGGGGAGTGGACTCCAGAACATACTATCAAAGATTGGTGAAGGAGACCCAAACGGTCGTTACTCGCACTTTCTTTGGGGGTCCTAGGAGAAACTACCTCATTCTTAACAGCTCATAAAACTCTTAATTTTAGCTATTGGAAAAGTGCCAAGGCAACTCTCTCTCACCAGGACTTGAGGCAATTCAATGCACGACTGTGCAGGTAAGAGCCAGAGACAGCATGAACACGTGTGCAGGGTACATCACTGGAAACAAGAAGGGGAGGAGGTGCATGCAGTTGCCGGTGGCCTGAGACACTCATCTAGAACACACACCCTCAGCTTGCAGATGAAGCAACAGATCCAGGAAAGCATCGTGATGAGCCCCAGGGCCAGCCCCCGCCTTCTTGTCCATGCTGTCGCTGCTCGCCTTTCAAAGCCCCCAACGCCCCATACGCGCCAAGGACCGTGTGACACTGAAGCCTGCGTCCCAGAAGGGAGCAGATCTATTGGCTGAGATGCAGGCTTCAGGTTGCAGCAGACGTGAGCAGCAACTGAGCACCCATCCATCCCTTCCCCTCCCCTCCCATCCCTGGCTTCTTTCTGCACTACCAAAAACCCACCACGAGCCAAAACGGCGAGTGTGAGCTCTAAGAACAGCTTGTGGGCACAGCTGGCATTTGGAGGAGGAGCCTGGGGAGCTGAAGGAAGCAGCAAGCTGGAAGTGGTCGTGCAAACAAGTTGAAGACCCCGGGCCAAGAACTTCCAGGGCAAACGGCTCCGTGTAAAAAATAAAGAAGCAGAGTAGTGCATCCATGCAATGAAATAATTCCTGGCAACGAGAAGGAACAAACCACGCACACATCGTGGATGACTCAAAAGCATTCAGCTGAGGGAAAGATGCCAGACTCAAAGGGCTACATCAGTGTGACTCCATTTACATGACATTCTAGAAAAGGCAAAATTATAGGATCAGATAATCAATCAGGGTTGCCAGGAAAAGAGGGCAGGAGGAGGGAATTGTTTGGAGCGATAAAAACAGGTTGATCTTGGCGATGGTCACAAGACAATAAATTTGCTGAAATTCACAGAACTGTATATTTCCAAAGGGTGAATTTGACTGGATGTCAATCATACCTCAATAAACCTGGGAAAAGGTGGTGGTGATGGGCCTTGTAGGGATGGAAGGATTATGGGGATAAGACGATATCCAGGCTATGTGGGCGGGCAGCCGATCTGTACCCCACTTAACATTACAAGCGCTCTCTCCTACCTACACAAGGAGTACATCTCTAGCCTTCTGTTTAAACGCTCCTTGTCAAGAGTACCTGCAGCTGGAAGTAAAATCACCTAAACAAGCCAAGGTCTCTCACGTCCTTCGAATTTTATGGCTTGTATTTCCAAAAGGGACTTTGGCTCAGCCCAGATTTGTATGCATCCATCCACTCATCTAGTAATTGATTGGTTTTCACATAGGGCAGGGAAACAAAGCCCTGGTTGGTGAATTCGTTGGTACACTGTTTCGGTGTGCCTGGCTGTTTCTCAACCCTGACCAACGGAGCACTGCCTCCCACCGCAGAAATTCTCCTTGGCCAACAGGGCGCTGAGTGGAGGGAGAAAGGAGGCCCAGGATGGTCCCACTGACAGAATCTCAGGGCCACCGTCTCCACAGTCCAAATGGCCTATGTGTTGCCACTGATGGAAAGCACTAGAAAGAATAGAGGGTAACAAGTGGCTCTTCCTGGAGGTTCTCATGGCAACCAACTTGGAACACCATTTGGCTTAAGGATTTTTTTTTTTTTCTTTTTAAATCAGGCTTTCACAAACAGATCTTGTGCATCAGTCTCTTGGGTGGAAGCAGGTAGAAGGGGCTGACTTATTCTCAGAAATGGAATGGAGGTTCTCAAGAATAGCCCAGACTCACCCACTTTGAATAAACCCAGCTAAGTCCTCACCTAAGCACCAGGACAGAAACAAAACAAAACAACAACCCAGATAGCGTGCCTGCCACTCCAAAGTGCAGTCTTTTATTTTCTCAGTTGTATCCTAATCTTGATTTCAACCAGAAAGGGGCCCCTGTTCATACACACAGGGGTCTGGACTGGCGACTCCAGCCCTGCTCTGTTGCCCAAGCTGGAGTGCAGTGGCATGATCTCGGCTCACTGCAACCTCCGCCTACCAGGTTCAAGCAATTCTCCTGCCTCAGCCTCCCTAGTAGTTGGGACTACAGGTACGCACCACCACGCCTGGGCAATTTTTTGTATTTTTAGCAGAGATGGGGTTTCACCGTGTTAGCCAGGATGGTCTCGATCTCCTGACTTCGTGATCCGTCCACCTCAGCCTCCCAAAGTGCTGGGATTACAGGCATGAGCCACCGTGCCCAGCCCTTATTTGTAAAGAGTTATTTAAAGCAAACAAAGAAATTTCTGCAATTCGAGTTGGATATGGGCCGTGAGGGTCTGGGGACCAGGTGATTAAAATCTTGTTGCTGTCTACCTTCCATCCAATAGGTAAATGCCTCACGACGGTAGTTTATATTTATAATAAAGAATCCCAGAGGGTTAAGTGTGGAGAGCGCACAATGCTCTTATTATACGCTCCCCGTCAACATGGAGAATAGAGGAGAGCGGAGGAATGCCCATCTTACAACTACAGCACCACTTCTCGGCATGCCTGGCTTGTCTTGAGCATTCACTGAACAAATGAATGTAGATTAATCAGCGCAACAGACTTACCTCTGAAAACTTGAATTCTGCAGAGTACCTATATATGAATGCCAAGGTTGCTGACCTGTAAGGCCCCTGAAGAGGAGAGATCATGGGCTTCCCTGATGACAGGGCCATATGGTGTCCTCAGATTAGATCGTAGCCCAATGGCTTTAACTTGCTTGATGAATGAATAACAGAGGGAAGAAAGAAAGGAAGTACGTGAAGGGGGTAAAGAGAAGGAGGGGATGAAGGGGAAAGAGTGACCTCCAAAAATGGACTGGCCCAAACTGGGCCAACTTGAGCTACCCTGGAAGACGCAAGAGAGCTCACTGTATCCCAGGGATGAACAGAGGACTCTGGAATCCTCAGATGGAAATGGAAAAGTCAATGAGCCATATTGTACTCAAAATATCTTGTTAATAACAAGGCTATTGGCTTTGAATGTTTGGAAATCATCCACAAAGTAGTTTACTAAGCCACAAAGCAATTACCACTAGCACCCATTTTTCATAAAGAAACCAAGAAATAATATTCTAAAATCGGTAGCTGGTGTCATGACCCAACCCCAGATCTGGACTGAGTGGTTCTCCATCCCATGGACAGATCCTACCAGGAGGTCTTCATGTCGGTGAAGGCCTTTGTGTCGGCCTTTTTGGTTGCCATGCTTCAAGAACAAGAGAAAAGTAACAATGTTTGGTTTACTTTAGTATATTAGGCATTTTTCTAATGTGAATTATAAGAAAGCAATTCTCATTCAATGATAGAGGTGCCAAAAAATTAGAGATTAGTAAGTCATCGGTTTCTAGCACATTAAGACTGAAAGACCAGTGAGTTGTGCTTCTTGAATTCTGCCCTCACTGCAGATGTGCAGGTCAAACCCAAAGTGGTCAATGGCAAAGAAGGAGAAAGATGGATTTCCAGGGTACGGGTTCCCGACTAGAATCTGCCCCTCGCTCACGCTTCTCCCGGCCCTTGGGGCTGAGTCTTTAGACTGACATGGTGGAGAATGTGTTTGCTGTGGTAGAGAAAGTAATGAGCTGGACCAAACAGCAGCACTGAAAGCTTCCCAAGTCACACTCAGACCAGACTTTTCCAGGGATTGGAAGACGGAGAGAGGGAAAGAAGGTGCCGTCACCAAGTGAGGGTTTGGTGCAGGGCTCTGGAACGTCCAGAAGGAGCTGGAAGCAAAGGTGGCGGGACACTGTCTGAAAGGCAACAACCCAGTGTGGCCACAAGAGAGTCTGCTATGCCTGTCCAGTGCCCACCAGTGACAGAAAACCATACAAGGGACAGCAGTCCCAGCCCTGCCATACACAAGAAGACAGAGCCATCTGGGCGATGACAAAGACTTGCCCTAACCCATCTCCCATGTAGGACTGACCTGGCCTCATTAAGAGCCTGTGGTGGGTGGCCTGGGAGAGGGGGCCAGGGCAGCCCAAAGGTGCAGAGGGCAAAGTGGTGGACAGGCCCCAGCTTGCTGGCCTCTGAGACGAGCTGGTTTGTTTCCATCCCTGAAGCCTTTGGATGAGCTGGATGAGGTCTTGATAACTGAGAACTTTGGAAAGCTTCCTCTAATGAGACTGGGAAGGGGTGGCAGGGTGGGGGCAGGGGCCTCCCCGAGGAAGGAGCTGGGGGAAGGATGATTGGCATTTCCAGATGAGACTTTACAGACGGCGCCTGATCTCATAGGACACGGGATGCAGCGCGCGATTTGGGGCTAATTTGCCGAATGAGGTAGTTCCATCCTGACCTCTCCAGGCATGGTGGGTCTGGGAAGACAGGAGCCAAGCCTTCCTCCTAAAACCCCTGGTGATGAACAGTGGCTGAGAAAGCCAGATGTGGACTCCCAGAATGCAATGGGAAAAAAAATAAAGAAGGAGGGCTGCAAAGGATTCTGGGTGCAGCTGTGAACTGAATGGCACCTTCTACCCATGATGCTGATCCTGACACCTGGCTTAGAGACAGAGACCTCCCTCCCCTGATCCTCCAAAGCCCTGGAGACAAGGGAGCCAGCTGGAGGAAGAGCTTTGGGGCTTCCAGGGCACAAGCATGTGACGGTGACCCCTACAAAACTCGGCAGGGACCACAAAGTTCCAGCCTCCGTTTGTTTCAGAGCGGCAAGCACAGCACGGAAATCAGGGGGTCTTTAGCCTCAGAGACAAGGGCAGGGCTGTGGGTCTGTCTTCTGGGCCTGGGAATACAGGGGAGCCCCCAGCTAGGCCGTCCGAGTCACCCTTCTGGAATCACCAGCTCTCTGCCCTCTCCTCAGTGGCCCCAGGAGAAAGGGTGGGGGGCATCCACTCAGCATGGGCTCCATGGTGGGAGCCCAGTCCCCCACCCCAGCAGGACCCCCCGAAACTGCACAGGCCCATCTAGATCTCCATGTCCACAGGGCGTATGCTGCCCGTCTTGTGCTCTCTGACCCACAGCTCCCTGTCTTTGGCCGGGTCCACTTTTCGAAGCAGTTGATCCACGGGCTCGACTGTCTGCAAGAGACAGAGAATACGTGACATCGTCAGAGACAGCAGCCAAGCTGGGGAGAGCTCCTCTGAGACATGCTGTCCTCGCCTTAGTGTCTCTCAGAGCAGCCTCTCTAGAGGGCTCCAGGGCCCCAGGGGAGGCCCATCTGAGGGACAGCACACGAAGAGGGCTGTGAACGGGGAAGCCCAAAACGCATCCGGACCCTGCTTCTCACCCTGCAGACTCCAGGCCTGGATGAGAAGCCAGGAGGATCTGAAAGGCTGTCTTACTCCCTTGTACCCCACATTCACCACCAGAGAACAGGACAAATAAAATTTGAGCTTTAGGTATTTTGAATATTTCCAGAAGTCGGTTTTTTTTTTTTTTTTTGGTTTTGTTTTTTAAGAAATTTACTAATGTCTTCAGCTACTATAACTGTTGTGAGCTTCTTTCTCGGGGTAACAGCTCACAGGTGAGTCCACTTCACATGTCAGGGTCGGATTCACACGGACGTCCAGGACAATGCTGACAGGCCCAGCCCACAAGGCCACCCCCAGGCCACAGCACCTGCCCACTGCCCGCCTTTAGGACAGATTCACTTGCAGCAGCCACTTGGCCACGGCCTAGCACCAGGCGGCTCTCCCCAGGCCCCGTGTCGCCCAGGAGTCCTGCTGGGCTGGAGACTCACGCTTTGGTTGAACATGTCTGTTTCATGCCGCAGCTGCGTGTACTGGCACAGGTGCTGCCGGATCATCTCTACCCTCTCCACCTCCAGCCGCTCTAGCTCCTGCCGAGAAAGCAAAGGCCGGAGAACTCTGAGCACGTCCCCTCCACTTGGGGGTCCTCCCACCAAGACGGCAAAACGCAAGTCACTGGCTGTGGACATCCTGCCCCATCTGACTCTCTGGGGTCTGATGAAGAGCGTGCCCCGTTATTTCGGGTGAAGGCGAAGCTGATGACAGCAGCAGCTGCTGTTTTACTTCCTGAAAAGCCTGCTCCGCCAAGCACCGTGCTGACGGCTTTCCGTGCGTTCCTTAACTGTCCTCGTTACAATTTTAAGAGATCGTTTCTGTTATGATCCCCATTCTCCCAGCAAGGGAACTAACACCTAGAGAGGCAACAACACGGCTCACCCAAACCGACAAGGAATGATGGGGGAGACAGGATTTAAACCAGAGTCCATCGGGCTGTTACTCATGGCACCGCACCCACGCAGCCCAAGCCCTGGTGCCCTGATGGGGTGCAGCAAGGGGACACACATGGGAGCTCCATGCCACACATTCCCGGGACCTTGTCCCTGGGCCTCTGCTGAGCAGCCTCCCTTCCTCTGCCCACGCCTAGTGCTGCGGCCGCAATAGAGACCAAGCCAGGGAGGCAGACGGGGCTGCACATGGCGCAGCTTTTGTCAAAGGGGAGAGGGGAAGGGGTTTGTCCTCCGGTTTCTAGATGGTTTTGTGTCTTTGGAATCTAGGGGATCAGGCTGTTATTCTGCATCCAACTAGGTCACTGCCCAGGTGATTAACCAGAAAAGGGGGGTAAAGCAGGGGGCTTAATTAGGAGATTAACCAGGAGGAAAACTAGGCCACTGTCCCTGGTGGAGGCCTCTAATCTGCTCTGGTGGGCTGACACCTGGGGAAGGCAGCTGGTGAGTCCTGTGCTGGATGGACAGGGGTGGCTTTAGGTAGTGGGATGATCCGATGAGCACCTGGCATGATGCCTCCTGTCCCATCTGGCCCAAGCCCCAGCCACACTTCGCTGTCCACTCAGTCAGGTGCTGATCGATAAAGAGATGCTGCTCCTTTACAAGAAATACTCAGGAAAGCATTATCGGCCCTGCCGCCTGTTGTTCACCCTTGGTCAGAGGCCTCCCCCCACCCTCTATGTAGTGCCAACCTCACCCATCCATCCACTTTGCAAGGATCTCCTATCAAGGACCTGCATCTCGTGTGTGTGTGTGTGGTGGGGTCCTCTCTTCCCATAGCTTGGCTATTTTTCCTAAAGAGGCCATTGTCCACTTAGTTGAGTTCTCAGTTGACCCTGACCTCTCAGGGGACAGTCCAAGAAGGATGTAGCCATATCCAACCCAACCCTGCCCACGTCCACACAGCTAGGAAGCGCCGGAGCAGAGATCTGAATCCACATAAGCTGGCTCAGACTGAGGTTTTGACCCCAACACTGAAGTAGGTTTGATGACCATCTCCAGGGTCACTCCATCCCATCACCCCCGTGCCCGCTAACAACCACCAGGGGCCACTCTGCATCAGCCTCTACCGTCATGTCCACACATCCCTGACCACTTACCAATGTGGTGGTCACCATCTCTTCAAACCACTTGGACTGGGCCTGGTTGTAGAGGTCCACACAGCGCATGAGGTCATCTCCTGGAAAAAAGACCACAGTCCCCATCACGATGCATCCTGTCCCCACCATGACTCCGTACCCCACCGCCAAGCCTTCTCCTCCCACTAGCGTCACGGTGGCCACTGGAAAGTTGGAAAGGGATGGCAGTAGGAGTAGGAAGAAGCAGAGCCAGGGAAGGAAGGGGGCAGCTCACCCCCATGAGAAACCAGCTCAGGTGTCCCCTTGAAGCCTGATGCCAGATACCAAGGATTCAGGATAGTGGTTCTCACTCTGTGTGTGTGTGTGTGTGTGTGTGTGTGCGCGCGCGTAGGGTATTCCTAGGACCCCCGATCCTATCATGAGCCCAAGAAATGCTTCGCTCCTCTCTAAAGATGGCAGTTTTAGTTTACACTGGGGAGTCCAGATTGGTTAAAACATGTCACACACAATTTGGTACTAAGAATTAAGGAAGATAAATTTGCAGATCACGTGTGCGTGTGTGTGTGTGTGTGCATGAACACACTGCAAGATGTCCTTCTGAAGCACTAAAGAACGCATCTGTCGTCCCAGTCTACAACATGCACTGAAGCAGCACACACCAGCTTCAGGAGAGTGGCTACCTTGGGAAACAGCGAAAGGCCGAGTGGGCAGGAATCAGCACCTCCCATCGCATTTTATGTCATCACAGAAAGATCTGAGGCAAACGTCACTATCCAATATTGATGACTACTCTATTACTTTCTGTTATCGTATGTATGTCTGGAACATTTTGTAATTAGAAAGAAAACACACTGTGGAGTAACTGCAAACATTACTAAGTGTATCAGCACCTTGGAAGCTTGCTACACAAATCACCGTCTGTGGGACAGTGGCACTTGTATCCCCCGGGGTCGGCTAGAAATTCAGAAAACCAGGACAGATCCGAGACCTACTGAATCAGAGACTGCGTGTTTACCAGAAGCTCTGGTAACGCGTGTGCACACGGCAGGCGGAGCAGCACAGCCCTCGTGCACAGCTTTGTCTCAGCGTAGCTTCCTGATCTGCACAGGGCTCCAGCAAGAGGAAGGCATCATGGTCTTTGCTCGAGATGGAAAATGCTCATGAGTGAACCCCAGAGTGAAGTAATTTTCTCTAGTAATTCTAGAAGCAGAATGCTAGAGTGGAACTTGGGAATCTGAGTAGAATCAAAGTTACTCCTGTGGCACCATCCTTGTGGCTCATAGGTACTCTGATAGGAAAGCCAAAGAGAATAGGGAAGGTTATGTCTCCATACCCAAGGCCAAGCTGCGAACCACACCACTAGCTGTGCCGCACGCCAGGGGCAAGTGTGCCTTGAGTAACAGAGCCCACACCGAGGCATTTATTCATTTTGTTCTTGGTCCAAGGCCAGTGACTGGACCCTTGATCCCAAGGGGCACTGACCCAGAGAGAAGAAAGTGGATACCGCACTGTAAAATATATATATATATATATATTTTTTTTTGAGATGGAGTCTGACTCTGTCACCCAGGCTGGAGTGCGGTGGTGCAATCTCAGCTCACTGCAACCTCCACCTCCTGGGTTCAAGTGATTCTTCTGCCTCAGTCTCCCGAGTAGCTGGTACTACAGGCATGTACCACCACCCCTGGCTAGTTTCTGTATTTTTAGTAGAGACGGGGTTTTACCATATCGGCTAGGCTAGTGTCGAACTCCTGACCTGGTGATCTGCCCGCCTCGGCCTCCCAAATGCAAATGCATTTCCACCAAGAGCTCCTGCCTAGCCGAGGAGGAGGGCGGCGTGCTGCTCTGTACACTGTGAAACTCCCTGAGCCCTGTGTGCCAATCCTGATTTTGAGAAAATGCTTCAAGAACTGCCACAGAATCGGGAAACAGAGTAGGTGAAGGGGGCTGTGCCTTCTCTCTATGGTAGCCCAAGAGCTTGAAAGTGGACCTTTATGAACAGCATTGTTTAAGACCATGGACTGTGGGACAAGGATGCCTTTGTTGTCACCCCAGTTCAACTACTTAGTAACTGTGTAATCGTAGACAAGTCAGTTAACCTGCCCTTGCCTCCGTGTCTTCATCTGTAAAACGGAGATAACAACTGTACCTTTACCAAGTTGTTACGAGGAATAAATATGTCAACATACGTAGAGCACTTAGAATAGAGAGGGGCGTAGAGAGCCAAATATTAATATGGGCTACGGTGGTGATGAAAATGAAGATGATGATCATGATCCCTGAGGATCTGACGTCCTTCCTTCTAGAAAGAAGCCTTGGAAAAGATGAGAAGGAGGGAGGAAAGGAACAGAAGGAAAGAACAGGTGGCATTTCCTAAGCAACAGGCTGTTCTGAAAAATGGTGACAAGCGGGGTCTCTGGAATGAGAGAAGACTGAATTTTGGCTTCACTGCTCCACCACCATGGAGCTCATGGAAGATTCTCACTTTCTCTGCCGTCAGTCTTCTCAGTTGTAAAGGGTATACATATACCTCCCTGCAGGGGACTGTGCTGATCAAAAGAGACAATGCTCTAAAGCATGGAGGCTGACCACAGCGATCGCTCAGAAGAGGTGGCATTTTTCAGAGTTAGGTCTAAGGACTGTCACTATCATCACAAAATGATTCTGAACTCCAGGAATGAGAGACCGTATTATCTGATGACAATGCAATAAAACTATGTAAAACAAACAAAAAAAAAACAGCAAGATTAGAAAACAACAACAAAGCCCTTGCTTGTAAGCATGTAAAGATTTTCTTTGAAACAATTCTTGGCTCAGAGAGTAAATGAAAACCCAAATAGCAAAACATATTGAAAGCAGCAGAAATTAAAACACCACAAATAAGAAACTGTGGAATATGGTTAGACCACCAGTGTAAGGAAAAATAAATGTCTGGTGGGTTAAATATTTCACTGTTTTCTTTTGTTTTTTGTTTTCTTGAGATGGAGTCTTGCTCTGTCACCCAGGCTGGAGTACAGTACTGTGATCTCAGCTCACTGCAACCTCTGCCTCCTGGGTTCAAGCGATTCTCCTGCCTTGGCCTCCCAAGTTGTTGGAATTACAGGCACACACCACCACACCCAGCTAAGTTTTGTATTTTTAGTAGACACAAGGTTTCACTATGTTGGCCAGGCTGGTCTCGAACTCCTGACCAAATGGTGTTGCCAGGCTGGTCTCAACTCCAGACCTGATCTGGTCGACCGGATTCTTCTGAAGCGCTGGCACAGGCATGAGCCACCTGCCAGGCTCACTGTTTGTGGCAAACAAATAAAATAATTTGAAACAAAAAAAAAGAAAAAGATCGAAATCAGCTCCAAAATCTAGGCTTCTTGGTGAAATATTTACTAAAGAAAACGGTAAGAAAAATAGGACAAATAAGGAAAGTTTTCTAGTTTTTTTACCATCAAAGAACAAACCTAAAAGACAAATGACAATCTAGGAAAAATATCTGCAATTAAAATGACAAACGGGCCGTGCGCTGTGGCTCATGCCTGCAATCTCAGCACTTTGGGGGGCCGAGGCAGGCGGATCACGAGGTCAGGAGATCGAGACCATCCTATCCTGGCTAACACAGTGAAAACCTGTCTCTACGAAAAATACAAAACAATTAGCCGGGCATGGTGGCGGGCACCTGTAGTCCCAGCTACTCGGGAGGCTGAGGCAGGAGAATAGCGTGAACCCGGGAGGCGGAGCTTGCAGTGAGCCGAGATTGCACCACTGCACTCCAGCCTGGGTGAAACTCCATCTCAAAAAAAAAAAAAAAAAAAAAAGACAAACGGTTCATTTCCCTGATAGATAAAGAATCTAATGGTCAATGGGGAAAGGATATAAAGGATATGAGTTAGTCAGTTCACAGAAAGTACAAAATGATTTATATGTATATTTTACATACTCAACCGGGGTTACGGAGAAAAGCAAATTAAAAACAAAATATCATTTTCCTCTCTCACTAACGATTTCAAATCTTGGTGACACACAATGTTGATAAGCATTTAGAGAACAGGCATTATTCATAGATGCTGTTGATGGGTGCTCTCTCTGGAAAGCAGTTTGGAAATATCCATCAAGATGAATAATACCCTTTGACTCAGCATCTAGATTCTCTCTATATGCAGATCTGGTCTTAGGCACACACAAAGCTGCAGGTACAATAACAACAGCTTCACTGGCTGGCAAGCACTCTGAAACCGTCTGAGAGTCCTAAACCTCAATTAAGGGAATGATGAAATAAATTTGGGTACAACCATACAATTGGACACTGGCCAGCCATTAAAAAGTTTGATATGCATGAATGGAAGGGCAAAAAGATTTATAGAAATGAAAAAGAGGTATTTCCAAGAAGTTCAGAAGACAGACTGTAGGATCAAATTTATATAAATATTTAAAAATCAAAACACTAGGAAGAGATGGTGATTATTTCTGTGAATAGCATTTTATATTCTTGTCTGCTGCTTAAAATATTTTGCCATGTACCAATACTGATTTTGCAATATCATTGTTTTTGAGGTGGAGTCTCTCTCTGTCACCCAGGCTGGCATGCAATGGTGTGATCATAGCTCACTGCAGCCTTAACCTCCCGGGTTCAAGCCACCCTCCACCTTAGCCTCCTGAGTGGCTGAGACTACAGGCATGCACCACCATGCCTAGCGAATTGTTTCAATTTTTTTTTTTTTGTACAGATGAGGTACTATGTTGCCCAGGCTGGTCTCGAACTCCTGGGCTCAACTGATCCTCTTGCCTCTGCTTCTCAAAGTGCTGGGATTACAGGTGTTAGTCACTGCACCTGGCCTACAATTTATCTTTTTAATAACTTAATAATTTAAGCAGATCTCTTCCCCTTATGTGCCCCCCTTCTACCAATAAATATATTGTGCCTATTTATGGATCCTGTAATTTATTATTGTGCATTATAAGATCTGTATAAAAATTGTTATCCTTCTATTACATTATTTTTTACTGACCTATTTCTATCCTACCTTATGTAAGGTGAATGCTTTCTTCTATAATGAAGGAATTGTAACAGGTTCACCAGAAATTGAGGTGAACAGTGTTAGACCAAACTCTAACACTATGGGACACATTCTCATTCCAGAGGTAACATGCGTGTTCTCTCGTGCAGTAAAACGGAGCTTCCTAGTTACTGAGGTTTTCACTGGTTTCTACCAGGCCTTCTCTTCCTCTGTGTATTAGCTAACTTTTACCACTAGGTGGAAGCAGAAACCAATTCACTGGGTGACTCCTTCCAGGAGACTGAAATCTGGTTATTTCTTTAAACAAAGTGTCAGCCTCTGTTCCCAGGGCAGGAGCCCATCCCCATAGGTGAACCTTGAGAGCACTGCTTCCTGGGGAGGTGGGCAGCTTGGGTAGGCTGTGCGCTTCTGTGGGCTCTGAACAGGGACAGGGCCCTGAGCTGTCAGCGCGTGAAGGAGTTTGTCCACCTCCTGGTCAGAGATTTGGGGCTTGGGCAAAAAAAAAAAAATAAATAAAAGTAAAAAAAATTAAAAAGCCATGACCAGGGAGAGAGTGAGAAGTCCAACCTCTACCATGTCCCAGAACTAGCCCGGCCTGTCTCCTTCCTCTGATCCCCAAAGTCTCTTCCTTTGAGATCTCTGGGTGTGGGTCAGAGAGGAGAGAAGAGGGCGTACCTCCTGGGAAACAAGGGAAGTCATTTCCCCACTGCAGTCTTGCAAAGGAGAGATGCACCCTCCCTGGTCACCCCATCTCCTAGCCCCATGCCCTCTCCTTCTGGGAGCCCTGAGCAGGCCGGGAGGGTGCCCGGCACTCACCGGCCTGTGTGGACTTCCTCCGCGCCTTCTTGATGTCCTCCTCTGTCTTGTTGCTCAGCTTGATCTCCAGTTGCTGGGTCTTCATCTCCAGGTCTCTCTGCCGCTCTGTGAGGGCTTTCCGGGCCTGGGATCCAAGGACACAGAGAAGCTGCTCGTAAAGCTTGGAGCCAGGGGGCCTCCTGGGCCACGCAGCCTCGCTTCCCTTTAGAGCCCTTTTATCCCTTGTTTGTGTGGATGATGCCACAGTGGCCCAGAGAGGCGCAGCAGCCAGAGTGGCGCCACCCAGCTAGGTGGAGGCTACATCCTGGTTTTTTTCATCCCTGTCTCTTCCAGTGACATCGGGGCTCAGCCTACATCAATCTCTCAAATCACGTTTTTTTCCCCTGATGGAGCCTGTATATAGACTGGGGACTAGGCAGTCCTAAAATCACATCCCCTGTGCCTGGAAGGGACCACAAAGGCCACCTGTGTCACCCCCCTGCAGTACGTCATAGGATGTAGCACCAGCTCTCCTGTTCTGGAGCTGGACACGCCTTGACCCTCTCATTCCCCTCACTCTACTGCCTTTCCTCCAGGCCACCACTGGCATCTCTGTGGCCCTTGGGTGGCGGCAGCTGACTGGGTCCGGGGTGTCCCGGTATTTTGAGCCCCCTTCTCCTCTCTAAGGCACCGGGGCTGGGAATCAGTCTCTGGGGCACGCTGTCTTCCCTCTAAGGCTGAACATCAGCTCCCTGGAGGCGAGATCACCCAGGACTCTACATCGTTCCTGAGCAGGAAGGAGAGCAGGAAGCGGGTGACTGAGTGAGGAAGACTCTGCCCAGTGAGGCTTAAACACGGGCCCCCACGTGAACCAGCACCAGCATTGCCCATCTTGGGGTTTAATTGGTCGCCTACAGTCCCTCGACCGCCCACTGCGGCTGCAGCCTCTCCTCGCACCCCTGGCCCTCTGGGTGGTCATTCGAGCATTCAAGCACCAGGGGGAGGCAGCTCCATCTGCCCTTGGATGGGTGGAGTACTCAGGTGTGGGCACGAGGCTTGGACATCCCCCATTCCCCTACCTGGGGACAAAGACTCCGCCTTGGCGTATGGAGCCACTGCTGGCTTCCCAGTCCCCCCCCTCTTCCAGGCAGCCCCTGACGCGCCTGCCCCGGCCCAGCGTCCTGGGCCTCTCACCTTCTCCACCGAGGCATAGCGGCTGGCGAGCTGCTTGCGAAGGTCGGCAATGTGGTGGTCGCACTTTTTCATGTCTTTCTTGAAGTTCTCACGGAAGTTCATCAGGGGCTTCTCTACCTCGCTGTGAAGCTGTTGGGAGAGTGGAGAAGCACACTCAGGACCCAGGGTGTCAGCTGTAAGCCAGTGCAGGGAGGAGGGGTAGGAGGGGTGCCCCCACTTCCCCAGGCAGGTGAGGATGAGTCTGGGGCGGCGACCTGGCAGGAAGGTGAGAGACACGCCCTGACACGTGGCTGCCTATCACGTCTCAGTTTATACAGGTCACCCTAGCTCAGGAGGCCCCAGCACACGTCTATAGGATAAGTGGTTAGCAACTAGCGCCTTCTGATTTTCCCATCTGTTAACTCCTTTCTTCCGGCTTCTGCAGCTTTTACATTTCATTTTTAGAATTTTTTACTGCCTATATTTATGGTTTATAATATGCTGTTTTGAAATATGTATACATTGTGGAATGGCTAAATCAAGTTAATAATCAACGGGCCGGGCATGGTGGCTCACGCCGCTAATCCCAGCACTTTGGGAGGTCGAGGCAGGTGGATCACCTGAGGTCAGGAGTTCGAGACCAGCCTGGCCAACATGGTAAAACCCCATCTCTACTAAATACACAAAAAATAAAATAAAATAATTATCTGGGCATGGTGGGCACCTGTAATCCCAGCTACTTGGGAGGCTGAGGCAGGAGAATCACTTGAACCTGGGAGGTTGAAGGGAGCCCAGATCGTGCTGTTGCACTCCAGCCTGGGCAACAGAGTGAGACACAGTCTCAAAATAATAATAAAATAATAATAATAATGACCTCACACACTTATTTTATCCCACAGCTTCCTGCATGGCTTTGTTCTTGTGCCTGTCTCCCTTATTTTCCAAACTGAGCACCTTCTGGGGACAGAAACCACATCAGCGTCTGTGTCTCCAAGCACTTAGCACAGTGACTGGGGTATGCAGCTCCAGTAGAGAACAGTCGAATGAATGCCATTCAATTAGAGGTCTCAGGTCAGTCCTGTTTATCCAACATCTACTCCATGGCAGGTGCTGAGAATACAAAGATGAGCTAGACAGGGTCCAAACCTCGAGGAACTGATGGTGGCAACTCCTCGAGGCCTGCTGGAAACACAGTGGCAACTCTTCCACACTGCGTTCATGGAGTCATTCTCAGCTTGCTGGGCTGCCTGGGGCACAGGCACACAGGTTCCCACCAAAGGGAACCGCCCTGTATCCCAGAGAAAAGGGTTTATGCTGCCAGAAGAGCTGGGTGGCATCAGGGTTTTAAGCTTTTTTCTTCTCTTTCATTCCTTCCCTCTTTCCCGCCCCACCCCCCTTTAAAAGAACTTCTCCTTAAAATTTGTTCTTTTTGGTTGTGAGCATAACATTTATGTCATAAGAAAACAGATCAACGGGACCTGCTGTGGTCAAAGCCAGGTGGCACCCTAGCCCTGTGCACCCCTCCCACCCCACTGCCTGGAATCAGGCACCTCTCTTCAACTTATGCCCACCCCACCACCACAAATCCACCTCCGCCTGTCTCAGAGGTGTCTCTAGGGGGCGCAGCTCAACTTCCCTGGACAGATGATATCCCAACGAGGGTTCTGTGACTTCTCTCCTCTCCCTCCTTGCCAGGTTTTTGGCTATACAATATCCTTTTCTCTGGAGATTGCCAGGACGTAGGTGTCCTTATTCTAAGTAACTGACTTACACGGGGCTGGGAGCACCAAGCGGGCAGGGGCCTGATCTAGCTTGAGCACAGCTGTGCCCAGTGTCTGACCTGGGCTGGTGCAGGGTGGGTGCCCCTTCTGTATTTGTAGAGAGAATGACAAACTCTTCAGAGCCTAATCCCCCAGATGACAAGAAGACAGCTTTGTCGCTGGATGGCCTTCAAAGACTCACAGAGAACTGGCCGTCCAAACACCTCCGTCCTCCTCGTGTTAGTTGTAAATATGTCCTACTATTTTTTTGAGCCCCTGGAACCTTCCTTGCATAGGAAAACATCCCCATCTGGTGGCAGTTTGCAGGATGCTACAAAAATCTTGAGAGCTTATGAGAATAAATAAACCCCCTTCCCATGTACATAGGTTTGGCATTTGCTGAGTAGGAAATGCTGTATGACTCCGGGAATCTGGGAGAGTCAGCTCAGCCTGCTGACTCAGAAATTCTGGGGTCTCTAAGGACGTGGAAAGCAAGTGATTTTCAGACTTTAATATGTCCAGGAATGACCGGGAAGAGTTTTCAACATTAAGGTTTCCTGGACCCCAGCCCCAGGTTCTGTGGTCTGGGGAAAAGCCCATGAACCTGCCAATATACCAGGAAGCTTTTCCCAAATTCAAATGACATTCTGGAAACGCGACGCTGCTATCAAAAGTGATTTGATTCCATAGATGAGGATGCCCAGAATCTCCATCTCTCTACAGACATTTTTTTTTTTTTTTTTTTTGAGAAAGAGTCTTGCTCTGTCACCCAGGCTGGAGGGCAATGGCACAATCTCGGCTCACCGCAAGCTCCGCCTCCCAGATTCAAGCAGTTCTCCTGCCTCAGCCTCCCGAGTAGCTGGGATTACAGGCACCCGCCACCACACCCGGCTAATATTTTTGTATTTTTAGTGGAGACGGGGTTTCGCCGTGGTAGCCAGGATGGTCTTGATCTCCTGACCTCGTGATCCGCCCGCCTCGGCCTCCCAAAGTGCTGGGATTACAGGCATGAGCCACCGTGCCCGGCCAATATTAAGTACTTCTTAAAGACATAATTTTTTTTTCCTTTAAAATGGTTAGGCTGGTATCTTTAGCATTCATTCTTAACTTTTAATCATCTCTGTTGAACCAGGAGTCAGAAGTTCTTCCGGGAAGTGTGTCCTTGCAGACTCAGGCTGGCCTGTCATGGGCCCATCAGTTTTTCTTTCCAAAACTCTCGCTGTCTTTGCTTCCTTTTCATCTCACACATCAGAAGAGAATAAGAGAAATTCCAAGTTGGTAGGAATTTCAGACACTGTCTAGTCTGATATTTGTCAGACGGTGTGCGGCCGAGAGTTATGAAATCGATTTAATGGGCTGGGACCAGTTTTTTTGGTGAGAACAGACCAGACTTGAACAGAAAATACCAGAGTACATTTTAAGGAGGAGGATACTGTTTTATGAAACATTTGTTTCAGCTACAGATGTGTGTCAATGTCTTGTGTGCAGATACCGGAGTGGACACTTACAGATGGGTTCCGAACGCTCATGTAAAATGCATCATTGCTAAGTCTGTCAAATAAGTGTAAAGAGACTGATGTGGTCTGAATTCTTCATTTCATATGTGAAGAAATAAAACCCCAGGCAAGCTAAGTGACTTGCCCAAGGTCAGAGAGCCTTGTTACTGACAGTACTGAGATACAACTTATGTCTCCTCAACTCCCGTCCCCTAAATCTTCTGACGGAACGCACAGCCTCTACTGCATGAGATTTTGTACCAGCAGAAGGAATTCTGCTATTCTCCCTTCTTCAGTAGGAGCCAGGTGTAACTTCCTTTGTATACAGCACTCTGATTTCTTTAGTAACCTGCTGCTGTTAGCAATGGCTTGAGCTAGTGGACCACAAAAACCAGAAAAATTGCTGTAACAAAATTGCATTTTTTTTTTTCTTTTTTTTGAGACGGAGTCTCGCTCTGTCGCCCAGGCTGGAGTGCAGTGGCCGGATCTCAGCTCACTGCAAGCTCCGCCTCCCGGGTTTATGCCATTCTCCTGCCTCAGCCTCCCGAGTAGCTGGGAGTACAGGTGCCCGCCACCTCGCCCGGCTAGTTTTTTGTATGTTTTAGTAGAGACGGGGTTTCACGGGGTTAGCCAGGATGGTCTCGATCTCCTGACCTCGTGATCCACCCGTCTCAGCCTCCCAAAGTGCTGGGATTACAGGCTTGAGCCACCGAGCCCGGCCTGCATTTCTTAAAGAGCTTTTACCCCTGACACAGAGCATTCGGAGCAGAATTTCAGTAAGTCTTTTGGAGCAGACGTTAAAAAGGATTTTCAGCATATGGAGCTATATTATTCATGGCAGTCAAATAAATCCTTGGAGGCACTTTCTTCTCAAGGAATCTCCGTAAAACCACTAAGCTGCTGTGATGATCGCCTGAGGCCACCAACACTGACCGACAGGCTGGAAGCAGTCGAAAGCCTCTTGTAGCCAAGTCTGTTTTGGGTCTTCATGAGCTTCCCATCAACCGAATAGTGAGGTCCACCCTGTGTCCTGAACACTAACTTAAAAATGCTCTGAGCATTTGGTTGTCCGGGGCCAGTCTGCACCAGCCCATTGGCAACCCCTGGAAGGGCAGAGGTTCAGGAAGAGGATGTGTTTTCAATGCCATTGGTCTCCCAAAGAGGGGGTGTTGCTGGAAGAAAAGCTCTGGGGACCAAGTCTCTCATTTGCTCAGTCCTCTCCTTTGCTTGCTCTGTGACTGAGCCCACCTGGCTGTGTGACCATGGGCTGTAATCTCACCCCACCTCTTCTCACTGTGAAATGGGGATGCCATCTTGCACGGTGGTTGACGGCAATGAGTTAAATCCTGCACACAGCCATCCACACCACTTACGTCACCACTACCCCATCGGAGAGGGTTTTACCACCTGTTGAGTACTCTAAACAATCAAGAATCAGGGGTCCTGCTGATGGGGAGTAAATGCCACCAAGATTCCCGGGGACCCAGCAGGTGACCTTTCCAAAGCTCACAGCTCTGGCTCCCAGCCCCACCCCATCACAATGGCAGCCCGCCCAGGCATCTTGCCAGTCCATGGAAGTTTCCACCACAGCAGAGAATGGAGCTGCTGGGGGCTCCGACAGGAGAAGCGAGGCCTTAGGGGAAAAAGCTACTCATGATCTGCCGCTGAAAAATAACTTGCTGTTTTGGATGCAACGCAGGAAAAAGACCCTTTCATGGAGTTCCCTTCTCTGCCAGGACTTGAGTAGCCATTTTCTTGTGAAGCGCTTGGAGTAGTGAGGTTAGTTAGCGTGCCTTCACTAGCTGCGAACTGTCACTCACATCTCAGTGTCAACTCAATCTTGGGGCACACTAAGCCACAGGGAACTTTAGCAGCTCTGTTCCCTCTTCCCACATGGGGAACTTTAGCAGCTCTGTTCCCTCTTCCCACCCAGCTCCTTAGAAAGTCCTCTCACGTGTCTCAGTCATCTGAGTCACTCATTCTGCCTTCTGTGTGCCGAGTACCATCATGGGGTACGTCATATGGGATCCCAAAGCAGGGAATTGCAATTGCAGTGGGAACGGCACGAGGAAAGAGACAGGACCAGTGAGTGCTGAACGTGGAAGCCCCCGGAAGGAGCAACCATCTCTGAGGGATGCTACCTTCAAATGACCAAGGATGCGTTTAAAGAAGGGAGACTCAGAGTTTAGGCAGTTTAACCTGCTGTGTCTGACTAGTGATGATGGGAGGGCAGAGGGGTGAGAAAGGAGGCCAGGGTCACTGGGATGGTGTACTCTGAGAGGTCCCTCTTTTTTTTTTTTTTTTTTTGAGACAGAGTCTCACTCTGTCACCACGCTGGAGAGCAGTGGCATGAACTCGGCTCACTGCAACTTCCGCCTCCAGGGTTCAAGAGATTCTCCTGCCTCAGCCTCCAAAGTAGCTGGGACTACAGGCGTGGGTCACCAAGCCCAGCTGATTTTTGTATTTTTTTTTTTTTAGTAGAGATGGGGTTTCACCACGTTGGCCAGGATGGTCTCAGTCTCTTGACCTTGTGATCCACCTGCCTTGGCCTCCCAAAGTGCTAGGATTACCGGCGTGAGTCACCACACCCGGCCCCTCTTTCTTTAAAAGGCAAGACTGTTAATGGGTGGCCCCACCAGTCACGTACACTTTAGAGTAGATTATTTCACTGAGAGATTTAGTTTATTTTTCATCTAAAAATTAGCTGAGAGTCGGACAGAAAACCTGGAGATATGTGCCAGGAAGTGGGGAGGGGAGAGTCACTTGGAAACATGAAGAAATCTTGAGAGAAAGGAGACCTGAAAAGACTGGGGGTGGGGTGGAGATAGTCAGAGGGCTCCGTTCACTCATGACTCAATAAGAAAATATTTATTAAGCATCTACTATGTGCAAGGCACCATCCTGAGCCCTGAGGATAGGAATAGGACAGAAACACCCTGCCCTTGAGTCCTGGTGCTAGTTATCTTCAGAACTAAATGAAAGAGGGACCCTTTACAGCCGGGTGTGGTGGCTCATGCCTGTAATCTCAGCATTCTGGGAGGCCGAGGAGGGTGGATCACGAGGTCAGGAGTTCAAGACCAGCCTGGCTAACATAGTAAAACCCCATCTCTACTAAAAATACAAAAAATTAGCCAGGTGTGGTGGTGGGCACCTGTAGTCCTAGCTACTCAGGAGGCTGAGGCAGGAGAACCCAGGAGGCAGAGGTTGCAGTAAGCTGAGATCGTGCCATTGCACTCCAGTCTCAGTGACAGAGCGAGACTGAGGAGAGGAGAGGGGAGGGGAGGAGAGGGGAGGGGAGGGGAGGGGAGGTTGCAGTAAGCTGAGATCGTGCCATTGCACTCCAGCCTCAGTGACAGAGCGAGACTGAGGAGAGGAGGGGATGGGAGGGGAGGGAGGGGGAGAGCAAAGGAGGGAAGGTGCGTGAGAGCAAAAGGAGGAAGGCAGGGAGGGAAGGAGGGAAGGCAGGAGGAAGGAGGGAGGGAAGGAAGGAAGGAAGGGAAGGAGGGAGGGAAGAATGGGAAGGAAGGAGGGAGGGAAGGAAGGAAAGGAGGAAGGGAGGGAGGGAGGAAGGAGGGAGGGAGGTGAAGTGAGGAGGGAAGAAGGGAGGGAGGAAGGGAGGAAGGGAGGAAGGAAGGGAGGAAGGGAGGAAGGAAGGAAGGAAGGGAGGGAGGGAGGGAGGGAGGAAGGAAGGAAGGAAGGAAAGAAGGAAGGAAGGAAGGAAAGAAGGAAGGGAAACAGGGAGGGAGGGAGGGAGGAAGGAAGGAGAGAAGGAAGGAGGGAAGGAAGGAGGGAAGGAAGGAGGGAAGGAAGGAGGGAGGGAAGGAGGGAGGGAAGGAAGGAGGGAGGAAGGAAGGAGGGAAGGAAGGAAGGAGGGAAGGAAGGAAGTAACGAAGGAAGGAAGTAACGAAGGAAGGAAGGAAGGGACTCTTTACTTGTTCTGAAATTTTGCAACCACCACAAATTAAAAAAAAAAAATATTCTCCCTTTGACATAACCTAGTATTTCCTGACACTAGGGAGAGACAGGACATGCTACACCATCCCTCTGAAAGCCAGGCAAAAAGAAAGCAGGGCTTCATCATTCAGGGGCTGCCCTGAGAAACTGGGGGGTGTGCTAAGGCCTGCTCCCAATGGCTCCCAAAACCCGAATGTTAAATTTTCAGGAATTCTGTTTGCTGGATGTTAAACACAGCCATTATCAAAAGGAAATGATATAAACTTATAATTGAATTAATTATATTAAAAACAAAGGTAATAGGCCAGGTTTAGTGGCTCATGTCTGTGATCCCAGCATTTTGGGGGTTAGAGGCAGGAAGACTGCTTGAAGCCAGGAGTTCGAGACCGGCCTGGGGAAAACAGTGAGATACCGTCTCTACAAAGAAATAAACAATTACCCAGGCGTGGCTGCATGCACCTGTTGTCCCAGCTACTTGGGAGGCTGAGGTGGGAGGATCGTTTGAGCCCAGGAGGCTGAGGTTGCAGTGAGCTATGATCATGCCACCGTACTCCAGCCTGGGCAACAGAGTGAGACCTTGTCTTTTTAAAAATAACAAAAAATAAAAAACCAAGGCAATAAATACCCAGCACTTACCACCTCCTAACTACACTTTACTATTTTCCATGCTCTCGGTGGATACTGATGGTCGTTTGCGCTACTGTATCTGTAGAAAAGCACCACTTCATGGTGAGCCACTGGGCATCTCTTCCCAGCTCCGTATTCCGTGACTTCGTGTGGATACTTTGAAGTTTACACCAGGGAAAATGGCAAACAGGGCAAACTGGAGAGACCGTTGTTAACTATTTTTCAGTACCCCAGTGTGTAAGACCAAAGGAGAGCAGCTGCAGGGAAGGGTTACCTTGGCAGAGAACTTGAGGTGAACTTCTGCTTCGTCCGCCAGGCTCTTCTTCACCTGGGCCCACGCCTCGCCCAAGGAACTGCAACAAAAAGACCATGAGACTCAGGTCAGAAGCCAAAGCCCTTCCTGAAGTGGGACGGTAGGGCTCCACCCCAGGTCTCAGGGAGGTATATGACAGCTGAGAATGTGGACGCGGATGAGGCAGAGGCTGGGCAGAAACCAGACACGAGCATCACGTGTCAACTCACAGGGTTGGATGAGCCACCAAGGTCCAAGTGAGCTCACCTTACCTCTGCAAGCTAAGGAAACAGACCGTGGCACACAGCTGAGTGGCGGGGGGATTCCTAGAAATCCAGAGGCTCGCAAGGACCCAGGAAGGTGCAGGAAGCAGGTATGGGGACATTCCAAAGCCTCAGCCGCAGTGAAGGCCTTGACCCCTGGGCCGTCACTGTCCCCAGAGCTTTCACATCACCCCTCCCTGGCTTGCCGATGAGGGGTGCAAGCATCTGCTAATAAATCAAGGAAGGAAACAGGTTCTATTCCAGGGAGAAGCTCTTTTAGTTTGTTTGTTTGTTCCTTGAGACAGAGTCTTGCTCTGTCACCTAGGTTGGAGTGCAATGGCGCGATCTTGGCTTACTGCAACCTCTGCCTCCCGGGTTCAAACGATTCTCCTGCCTCAGCCTCCCGAGTAGCTGGGATTACAGGAGTGCGCCACCATGTCTGGCTAATTTTTGTATTTTTAGTAGAGACAGGGTTTTGCCATGTTGGCCAGGCTGGTCTTGAACTCCTCAGGTGAGCCTCGGCCTCCCAAAGTGCTGGGATTATAGGCATGAGCCACCGTGTCCAGCCAGAAAAGCTATTTTCAAACAGAAGGTACCACGCAGCCCTGCTTACGGGAAAATCCCCAGCTGCCTGGCTTCCAGAAGGGGCAAAGATGGACTGTGTGGGTCTAGTGACCTAGATGCAGCCACAGGGCAGAGAAGGCTCCCACTGCCATCCCTGCAAGCACGGTCTCCTCTAGCACTGCTTCTCTAGCTGTGAGCCCTGATGCGGCCCACAGCTTACTAGAGAAGGGCCAAGTTCTCTTAGCGGCATCACGTCTCCACTCCAAGGAGGGGCTTCATGTAGAAGAGATCGCCTGAAGTCCCTAAGACTTGCCAATGCAGGCCCCAGGCTACATTCTCTATGATTTGGAGCTCTTTAACCCCATGACCCTTCCAAATGATACCCCTGCTTCCTTGCTCCCAGCCTCTTCAACACAGCCAGTAAATCCACGCTGAATGTTCCGTTGACTTAATATCATCCAAAAGCCACTTCCCCCAGAGAATTCATTAAAGTCGAGTGGCAAAAGCTGATTAAAAGACAGCATGTGGTGAGGCTTCTGGGTCTAGAGCAGAGCAGCCAGCAGCAAAGAATTGCCCAGCAGAGCACAGCAGATCCCTCTGATGACTGGCCAGGCCTGTGTGGTGGGTGGTGCTGGCTCAGGCCGAGGTGGGTGTTTATGGGAAATGACTGCCTGATTTTATCTAGGAGTCCAGCAGCAAAGAAAGGTCCCCTCAGTGATCCTGGCAGGGGAAGCCACCAGAGAAGCGTTGGAGTATGAAACGGGGCAATCCAAGCTGTTGACAATTGTCTCTGCCTGAAGGGCCTGAGCTCCAGGAAGCTGTGCTGGGGTACTCCACACCCTCTGGGTGGCTTGGGTGCCCCACCTGACTCAACAGGTGGGTAGGAGGTCCAGAGGTGGCGGGCGCAGTCCTGGCAGTTACACAGATCAGCGGAGCAGAACACAGAGTTACACAGCTAGGGCCAATTGACTGCAGCAAAGAGGTTAAGGTGTTTCCATGGGGGAAAACAGATGATCTTTTTAACAAATGGTGCAGAGACAACTGTACATCCATAGGAGGAAAAGGAATCTTGGCCCTACCTCACACCATACACACAAATTATCTCAAGATGCCTCCTAGCTCTAGGGTGAAAGCCAACACTATTCGAAGCATATGGAGGCTGTCCTGGGAGGAGTGGGAATTGGATTAAAGGGAGGTGCGAGGGGTTTGCCCCTGCAGCTGAGCCACCCACAGCAGCCAGCAGGAGGTACGAACAAGAGTCACAGAGTCAAAAGGGCCCTGGGCAGTGCCCAGGCTTTGTATGAGCACATGCATCTTTCCACAGAGCTGTCAGTCTACTGTCAGCAGAGCACATGGCAGGTAAATGGCCCAGGGACAGCCATGGTGGCCTGAGAATGTCATCTCTGGGCAACTGGGAGGAAAGGAAGAACCATGGTTTTCCACCCAACACAACGTCCTCAGCTCTACCTCCAGGCCAGGCACTGCTAAGTGGGAGGACATCTCTCCAGACATTCAGATGGGCCCCTCTGAGCCAGTGCATCCTTGGTGAATGCCTCCCTGCTCTCCAATATTCCAGACTCTCTGGAGTCATGTCACCATTTATTAAAAAGCTACTTACAAATTCATTCGAAAAGAGATTTTTCATCTGATAAACAGTTAATGAAAAACAAAACAAAATCTGAGATGCATCTCTGTTCCAACAAATAGTTTGAGGCACGCCAAGTCAAAATGCATGTTGTTTTCATGACCGCCCACTAGGAAAACCAAAATCCCATTTCCTTTCCACACAGGAGAGAAAAACTAAAGGCAGAACAAACAGCCAAATTCTGCTTATTTACCAACGTGCACATGTCCTGTGAAATCTAATTTGGACAGAAGTTGAATTGCAAAAGCCACTTCAGCCTCCCTGAGCAGCATCTTCCTCGACTGCTCCAAATTTCTAGACTCCTGCTTTGCTTTGAAAGTCTTCAAGGAGATGGGGTTAAATGTCCAAAGCTGTGTGTAAATGTAAATCAGTGTCGTTGCATGCTGTATGTAGGGGGCTCATGTGTTCATGCTCCAGTGCCTGCTACAGGAGTGTGTGCATGGGGCTGCTTTGTGGGCACTCAGGGTGAGGAGTCATGTGTACACCTATGGAGCAGTGGCCCTGAGGCATGTATGTGAGCTTGTGCTGTGTTTGTCTCTGTGTTTGTCCATGCATGTGTGTACAGTCTGTCAGCGTGGGCCTGACTCACGGAGCTGGACTGCTCGGGTGAGGAGCATATGCTGTGCGCGTTGGCCAGGACACAGTGTCCTTGGCAGCAGCCCAGGCTGGAGAGGTGGAAGCCGGAAGACTCCAGAACGGCACAGTGGTTGCAGGGCACGGGGATACTTAGGAAAGCCCCTTCCCAGGCAGCAAGAGCTGCTCCTCTATGTGCCGCCTTCCTGCCCCATCTCAAGCCCCGTGCACGGAGCAGGAGGAGGCCAGGAATGAACTAACCTCATTTACATCTGTGGAAGGGACGCTGGTCTTGCTGGGCTGCCCTGTGGTCTGTGGCTGGCGAGGAGGGTGAGAACCATTCCAAGGAGGCCGCCTGGCTGCACAGCCAACCCATGTGGAGGGCTTAATCAAAGCCACATTTGGGCTGGGAAAATCTCAGTCCCCTGAAGGATTTCAAGCCATGAAGGCAGATTTGGACTGGTTTAACATCACGGCTCGCTGACAACCACAGCCGTCCCACAATAGAACGTCTTCCTTCCTCGGGGGTTCACTCCCCTTGGAGGAGGAATTCAAACACAGACCAGCACTAGAAGGAGGTTGGAAGAGAGAGGACCTCTAGGGACCTTTTCAGCTCTAACCTCCTGAGAGTCTTTGTGTTTTTACTGAGGTCAAATTCATATAACATAAAATTAACCGTTTAAAAGTGAACAATTCAGGCGCATTAAGGACAAGACCGAATCAAATGCCCGTTTTGTGAGTGCAACTACCACCTCTATCTAGTTCCAAAACATTTTTGTCATGCTAGTATGGACTAAAGGTTTATGTCCTGCCAAAAGTCTTAGGTTAAAACCCTAACCCACAATGTGGCTGCATTTGGCAATGAGGCCTCTAAGGAAGTAATTAAGGTTGAATGAGGTCATAAGGGTGCAGCCCTGATCTGATAGGATTAGTGTCCTTATAAAAATAGACATTGGCCAGGCGAGGTGGCTCACTGCAATTCCAGCACTTTGGGAGGCTGAGGCCGGTGGATTGCCTGAGGTCAGGAGTTCTAGACCAGCCTGACCAACATGGTGAAACCCCATCTCTACTAAAGATACAAAAAATTAGCCAGGTATGGTGGCACATGCCTGTGGTCCCAGCTACTTGGGAGGTGGAGGTTGCAGTGAGCTGTTATCAGGCCACTCCAGCCTGGGCAGCAGAGCAAGACTCTGTCTCAAAAAAAAAAAAAAAAAAAAAAAAGACATCACAGAGCTCTCTCTCTGAGCACACACCAAGGAAAGGCTGCATGAACACACAATAAGAAGGCTGCCATCTGCAACCCAATGGGAGAGTCCTCACCAGGCACCAACCCTGCTGGCACCTTGATCTTGGACTTCCCAGCCTCCAGAGCCATGAGAAAATAAATTTCTGTAGTTTCAGCCACTCAGTCTGGGACATCTTGTTGTGGCAGTCCAACCAGATGAACACACACCCCAAAAGGAAACCCGGTAGCCCCTAAGCAGTCACAACCCATTCCCCTCCTCCTTCAGACCCTGGCAAGCAAATGACAATCCACTTTCTGTTTCCACGGGTTTGCCTGTTCTGGACATTTTACATAAATGGAATCATACACTATGAGACCTTTTGTGCCCGGCTCCTGTAACTTAACAGAATGTTTTCAAGGCTCATCCACACACTAGCATGTATTAGTGTTCCATTCCTTTTCATGGGTAAATAATATTCCATCGTCTATCCACGGATATCCATTGTGCATACACCACCATTTGTTTATCCTCTCATTGCTGGGTGGAACATGGGTTGTTTTCACCTTTTGGCTGTTACAAATATTGCTGCTCTGTACACGTGTATACATGTATTAGTTTGAGTGCCTGTACTCAATTCTTCTGGGTATAAACCTAGGAACGGAGTTGCTCTGTCATATGGTAACTCTATGCTTAGCTTTTTGAGGAACAATCAGATTGTTTTCCACAGTGGTTGCACCATATTCCATTTCCCCCAGGGGTGCATAAGGGCTGAGACTTTTTTACCCACTAGGAATCTTTCTGTGGCTGGGAGGGTTGGGTTAAGCTTCTCCCAGCCCAGGTCCCACTCAACGGACACAGCATTAGTGGGAAGGGAGCCTGTGCCTCAAGCCCACAGGGGAGAGCTCCAGACAAAGGGGCCAGGTACATACCCAGCTTCCTCCCAGCCTGCCCCTAGAGAAAGGAGAGCTGGAGTGGGCATCTAGAAGCTACTGCCAAGCTACCAGGGGTCAGACTAGAGGGGATTCTGACATACTCCAACATCTGGAACATGACCCTTGGTCACTAAAGAGAAGACAATGCAGAAGTGTTTTTTTTGTTTTTGTTGTTTTTGTTTTTTTGAGACAGAGCCTTGCTCTGTCACCCAGGCTAGAGTGCAGTGGTGCGATCTCAGCTCACTGCAAGCTCCACTTCCCGGGTTCACGCCATTCTCCTGCCTCAGCCTCCCAAGTAGCTGGGACTACAGGCACCCGCCACCACACCCGGCTAATTCTTGTATTTTTAGTAGAGAGGGGGTTTCACCATGTGGGCCAGGCTGGTCTCGAACTCCTGACCTTGTGATCCACCCGAATTGCTGGGATAACGGGTGTGAGCCACTGCGCCCAGCCAGAAGTGCCCTTTTGAGTGTGGATGCCCATACCTTGAGTCATGGGTGCCCTGCTTGGGCCACGGGCACACACTTAAGTCATGAGCACCCACCTGAGCCACGAGCGCCCACCTTCTGCCAGGCCTATGGAGAGCTCTCCATCCAAACTGGGGCCATGCCAGTGATCAGTGATGACTGGCTGATCCCCCTTCCTCAGTGACCCCCCATCCTCCCCACTCCTACCTCTCTCCTACCCACTCACCCTTCCTCCTGAGAAGCCAAAGAGTTCTGAGAGAGCTTCGCTAAGTTCTTCGCATAGTCTTCTTCAATCTTTATCCTGCAAAGACAGAAAATCCAACGCACATCAGCTCTCCAGTGCCAGACGGTGGATCTTCCCTGCTGCCCTGCACACCTCCGCCGTGGAAAGGAACCCACTAGACCATAAGCTCTGAGACTGCATGGCTCTTGTCTGTCCACCTGACATGCAGTAGGTGCTTAATAAGTACTTGTTGGATAAACGAATGAACAAAACTGTCTGGACTTCCACCTCCTCATCTGCGAAGTGGGATCTTTTCTCCTGTCTCCTAGAGCTGTGAAGACGAGAGCTGGCGTTTACACAGTTCCTAGCACAGAACGGGAAACATAAGACCCCTAAATGAATAAATGAATGAAGGAAGGAATGAATGCTTGCAACTCGTGATAGACTACCAGCAATAATATCCAGGGCTGTCCCCTCTCCCTTCCAGCCCCAGAACTCCCAGGTGGCCTCGGGCCCTCAGCAGCAGAACAGAAGATCTCCCTACTGTCTCACACCCCCAGGGCCTCTGATTGTCAAGCCTGCTGGGTGCAAGTATTTCCATGGAAACCTGGCAGTGCCCAGGGCTGCAGGTAGATTCTATTTCCCTGGTGAGGAAAGTAGCATTGGATGTAGCTTCCGGCAGGCAGGCCTTTGACACATTTGCAAGGCAACTCTCCAGGGAGTGTCCTGTATTATCTGCCACGTCGTGTGAAGCATGTTGTCAGAGGTACTGTTCGCCACCTAAGTGGTCCTCTGGGCCACAGTGGGAGACAGAGCAGCTATGCTTATGCCAACCAGAGCTGGCCAGAGCCCAGGATTCAGAGAGCCCCTGGTCCATCGCACAGTGAACAGAAAAGCTCCAGAGATGCTGGGACCACAGCATCTGCTTCCCAGCCGCTCAAGCACCTGGCACCCAAAGGGTACAATGATGGAGAGAGGGTAGTTGACAAAGTCTGGCTGCAGCATTCGGAGTAATAATAATTGCAGGACTTGGCATCAGGAGACTCACAATCTCGTTCCTTCTTGCACTGCTTTTCTCTCACCTCCACCTTCAACCAGTCTCTAGGTCCTCCTGAGTCTCATTCCAACTGATCTGCCTCTATCACTTCCTCTCCATCCCCCTACTTTCACCCCCAGACTGTGGCCAAGAGAGATCTCTAGAAGGTAGATCTATCCATGCCACACTCCCGGCTCCTCAATGCCAACCGCATGCACCAGACACACGATGCTCCTGTGTCTCACCTCCAGGACCAAAGCGTGCGTCACCTCCACCTCTGCCCCACTTCCCGAAACCAAGACCCCAGCAAACCAGCCAGCACCTGTCCTCGAGCCAGGGAAGCTCCCAGCTCTGAGCCTCAGCTCTCACCTCTCCCGGCACTAAAAGGCCTTCCCAAGATCCCAAGGTGGCTGGTTGTATGCGATTTCTCTAGGAAGCCCAGAATGTCCTGAAATGGCAGTTTCCATTTATTTGCTAACAAGACATTGTTATGGAAATATAAACCACAAGCGTGTTCAAGCTTTGGCTTTTGCAGTCAGTTCCTATTTGCCTGTTTTATACCATTGTCTTCTCAAACCCAAGCCGTGCAACCTCTCCATTTCCCACCAGTTTAATGGGTCATAAAATAAGGATCTGATAATACAAATTGAAAATAGGCCCTCTGTCTACACCCGTACCACCCTGAACACATCTGATCTCATCTGAAAATAGGCCGTCTAAGGGAAAGGGGTGCTTCAAAACGCCAAAGCATTATGACTTGATTACGGCTGTTATAATTAAAAAGGAAAATTTTTGGTTGGGCGCAGTGGCTCACACCTGTAATCCCAGCACTTTGGGAGGCTGAGGCGGGCGGATCACCTGAGCTCAGGAGTACCGAGACCAGCCCGGCCAACACGGTGAAACCCCATCCCTACTAAAAATACAAAAACATTAGCTGGGCGTGGTGGTGCACGCCTGTAATCCCAGCTACTCCAGAGGCTGAGACAGGAGAATCGCTTGAACCTCGGAGACAGAGGTTGCAGTGAGCCAAGATTATGCCACAGTACTCCAGCCTGGGTGACAGAGCGACACTCTGTCTCATAAAGAAAAAAAAAATAAATATTTGTAAAAGATATTGCAATTTGCTATAAATATTTCCAACTCCAGATGGAAAGTGTTGTGTGTGTGTGCACGTGTGTGACAGGTGGGTATGTGCAGGTGTGTGGGTATGTGAGTGTATGCTGAACAGGACCTCAGAACTTGGAGGGAGAGAGGGGGGGGGGAGAGAGAGGGAGAGGGAGAGGGGGGGAGAGAGAGGGAGAGAGAGAGAGAGAGAGAGAGAGAGAGAGAGAGGAGGGAGGGAGGAGGAAGGAGATAGAGAAGGAACTTCTCTTTCTCTTTGTAGATTTCTCCAGTTCCATTGGGCTAAATTTATCGTTTCTTCATCTGTGTTCCCAAGCTCCTTAGACAAAACACTGTTAGAATCCCTGAGGCAGGGATGGGGTAGGAGGAGGGCTCTATAGACATCTCCTGCCCTGGAACACAGGTTTTGGCTAACGATGAACTGAACTGTAACTTTCCCCCCATTGGTTATGGTAAAGGGCAGTGCTTCAAATGACGGCCAGGTACATAAGTAAAGGAGTGAAGAAGTCTGCGGGAGAATACAGTACGGAGTGGTGGAGACTGTGGCAAAATGGGAACACAAACACCCCCACTACAAGAGTAGCTGCTACTCAGCTCCGGCCAATTGTCACGTGAGGGATGTGGAGGCAATCCTGCCAACGCTTCTGCTCTTTCAAGGTGTGCAAAATATCCAGATTTTAATATGAAATCTACCCATTTTTTTGTGTCAGTTCAAATATTTAAAAACATTGTATCGGCCAAAGCTACACATCTGCTGACCAGATCCGTCCCAGGGGCCATGAGTTTGCCACCTGGTGCTAACTAGCTCAATGCTGAGTGTGCAGTGCTGAGTCCTGTGCTGTCACCCCCTGGCCATGGGGCCCCCGGGGAACACTGGTGCCAGGCCCCAGGGCTGGGAGGGGCCCAGGCTTCACCTTTCCCGGATGAATTCTGACATTTCCTTCTGCATTTGTTTGCCCTTCAGCTGTTTCTGGAGCAGTAGTTCAAAACCAGCCACAGTGCCGTTGCCTTGGGGGTCCTTCTTATCAGCCTACAAAGGAAGCAGAAGCACAAGAGTTTAGGGCAAGTCTGCGTCTGGAGGCAGGGAGAATAGCAAAGAGAGAGGACAGCTCCCAGATGTGTCTGGCAACCCCAGCCCAGCACAAGACACGGGAGCAGCTGTCTCTGCTGCCCTAACTCGGACGTCTCTCCGGGTGTCCCATCTTCCAACAGTGCTTTCCGATGCTCAGGCTCTTACAGTTGCCGTATCCCCACATCCAAGCCCCTTAACTCTCCCAACCTGGGAACTGAGAGGAAGAAGGGCAAGTGTCCAAGAGCGCCGGCTGTGATGCCTAACGGCCTACGACTTCCAACCAGGTGGCTGCAGAGCCTGGCTTGGCCCTCGGCAAATCTTGGCATCCTGACTCCCAGCTGGACTATGTGTGAGCTCAGGAGCAGGTGCCCCCAGCCTTAAGCCATCTTGTCTTCTATCAGCTTCTTATACTGGTAGGGCAGTGACACCCTCTAAACACACATTCATAAAAGATCACAGGAGAGAAAAATCAATCATAGGGAGAAAGTGGATCGAAGGGAGGCCGGAGGAGAGCACAGGACAGGCTGCCCTGAAATACTGGCTGGGTGACCTTGGCCAAGTTCTTCACTCACTCCAGGCCTTAGTTTTTTCATCTGCAAAACTAAGGAAGTAACAGCCCTACCTTCAAAGGGTCACTTCAGGGTAAATGACATATGTATACAGCTGAGCACATATTATGTACTCAATACATGGTATCTGTTATTAGTTACTTTTAAATAAAAGTCCAAACTTGGGGAGGACGGGCAAGTCAATGAAATAAATACTTAGGACCCAATTAATTTTGCAAACAAATATTCTTAAAATTTCAAAATTAAATGTTTTATTTTCTTTTGTATTACCTGTATTTCTTCAAGCATACCTGAATGCCCCTTTCCTGCCATTCCCCTGCCTGAGATTCACCCACACATCTGCCCGCACGGCCGTGGCACCAGCTCCCAGGGCCATTCCAGGCACTAGCCATCAGCATGCCTAAAAGTGTCCTCCCCCTTACAGCTTTTCCCTATCAGCAACCCAGGGTCAAACACTTTGATACTTAATGGAATGGAAGGTGTTCAGAACAGGTCTTTGATACCCCAGACAGAGAGGTGCATTGGTGAGAACAGTGTCCAGCCACAGGGTGTCCAGTCCTAGGCAGTGTCCCCACAGACCACCCCCTTGAAATAGGAGTGGGTTGCATCTCTCAGATCCCATCCAGATCAGACATTTTAGGAGAGGCGAAAGAAAAGGGGTTGCTGATGCCTGCAGGGAACCCCATTTACCATCACAAGTAGATGAAGGATGTTATGGACACCTTCCCAGTTCCCCCAGTGTGGGACCTCTCCCTCAGGTGCCATAACTCAAAGCCTTCTGGTCACACTGCTAACGTCCCTGATGACAGGGAGATCACCACCCTACGGGGTCACAGTCGGGCTGGTCTTGCAGTTTAAAAGCAATGTCCAGTGAAGATCGCTGCGCTTCACCCTACGAATGCTACATCTTGATGACAAAGCAGAAGGAAAATTACCCAAATACTGAGCTCCAATCTGCCTCCCTTCTAGGATGGACGTGCTGAGCTATCCATGCACGCTCGGGAAAACCAGCCAGAAGATACAGGCTTTAATGACTGTGTCAGGAGACAGAAATTTGTATTCGTGGAAAAGGCCTCGATGGTCAGGGGGATAAGTGGATTGCAGATTAAGTATCAGAGTCCCCAGAGAGCTTGAGTTAAGATAAGAACTCACAAGTGTCACTCTCCGGATGCTGCTGGCAGCAGGCAGCATCGGACATTCCTGCCAACTTTCCAAGGCTTGAGACCCCACACGTTGACCTCTAGGCTCCCAGGATACCCATTTCCGGGGCTCAAACCACCCTCTCCTTGAACCCTCCATTTACTGCACCTCTCTTGAGAGATGATGTTTCCAAACCCAGGTACATCTCTCCCTCCTCTGCCGCCACTTCCATTTTTCCAGGTCTCTTCCAGTCACCTGTCAACTTCCCACCCCTGCCTGGACAACGTCTACGAATCAGATCACATCATACTGCTGCTTAAGACCTTCGAACATCCTCCTTCCACAAGCAGAATACTGGGGCCTAGAAAATCTTGCACACTCTGATGCTTGCTTCCCCCGCCTCCGAGCTCACCTGCCCAGGTCTGTCTGGTGCCAAAGATAAGCCCCTTTTTACTGTTTCCTCAACCTAGGCACAGATCTCTACCCTGGATGCAGCACAGCTGGAGCTACAGAAATTGTGCCTTGGTGAGAGGTGGAGGCAACAGAGATCTTTTGTGTATCTTCTAAGGTACAAGTGATTTTGTAGAAAGAAAAAAGCACCTTTTTTCTAGTATTTGGTTAGCAAATCTAAAAAGTGTAGATAATCCGGCTGGGCACGATGGCTCACACCTGTAATCCCAACACTTTGGGAGGCCAAGGTGGGTGGACTGCCTGAGGCCAGGAGCTTGAGACCAGCATGGCCAACATGGTGAAACCCTGTCTCTACTTAAAAAAAAAAACAAACAAAAAACAGCTTGGTGTGGTAGCACACACCTGTACCCAGCTACTCAGGAGGCCGAGACAGGAGAATCGCTTGAACCCAGGAGATAGAGGCTGCAGTGAGCCAAGATCACACCACTCCACTGCACTCCAGCCTGAGTGAGACAGAGTGAGACTCTGTCTCAAAAAATCCATTCTGCACAGTGGTGAAAACAAGTTTTTACTTATTTATTGTTCCTTGGGGTCTTTGGACACTTATTTTTTTGAAGTGTACAATTGAGTGGTTTTTAATATATTCACAGGGTTGTATGACCATCCCTACTAACTGATTCCAGAAAGGGGTGATCTAATTTTGAAAGTCACGATGACTTTCACATGCAAATGGCCCAGGACCATTCCCAGAATGTTCAGAAGTACAGGACTCTGCATTTCTAAAAATTTATTTATTGTGGAAAAAAATACACCTAGCATGCAACTGACCATTTTAGCCATTTTTAAGAATACAGTTCAGTGGCATGAAGTACATTCACACGGTTGCGCCACCATCGCCACCATCCACCCATAGAACTTTCTTGAATCTTGCAAAACCAAAACTCTGTGTTCGCTAAGCGATCTGTAAAAGTTTCAGAACTATAGGATTATCCAAGCTGGAGCTCTCTGAAGATCCTGTGCCCCCACCGCCTCACAATTCTGATGAGTACAGCGAGGCCTGAGGAGGTGAAGCCCTTGTCCAACGTCACTCATGTAAGTGACAAGCAGGTCTGGAGGCCACGTTTATTTATTGAGGTGGATTCTAGTCTCCTGCCCTCACTGAGCATTGGAGAAAATGGCCCTCCGCTTACCTACATTCTGGCTGAAGTGTCTGTAATGTGAACAAAAGTCCTGCTGAACCCCTGAGATTTATAGAATGAGCTGGACTCCAGGAGAATCCTAAGTTCCTGTCTCGGGTGTAAAATTTAACCCCAGCCCTTCAGGCTCCAATGAGAAAGGCCCCTCCACTTTGAGATCCAGGTCCCTCCTACCCATCCTGGGGGTCCACTCTCAGTCATCGGGGTCACGCTGTGGGGGAAACGGAGGCACTGCTTACCCAGAAGTAGTCGCAGTAGCTCCACTCGGTGGGTTTCAGCAGCTGCTGTTCCGGCATCGTGTCTGGGTGAGGGAACGTCACACAGTTTATCTGTAGGGCACAGAACAAGAAAGAATGACTCCGCTGGAGACTGGAATAGCGAGGAAGGCTTTGCTCCCTGGGGACATGGCACTACAGCAGCCTTCATATTGACAGAACATGCACAGGGATCTTCCCGTGCTCCAGGGGCCAGCACTTCATATGAGGGGCAACAGGTGCTCACCACCAACCCAGATGGGCTGTGAACCAGTACCACCTCTCCAGAGGGCAGTTTACTAGCATCAAAATTGCAAACATCCAGTGCCTTTGACCCAGCAATTGCACAAGAGTCTATCCTGCAGATACAGTTGCATGGGGGCGGTGATGTCCACACACACTTTTTCACGACAGCACTATTTACGGCAGTTAAAGGCCGGAAAACAACTCCAATGTCCATCAGTAGGGGAATGGTTAAAGTATGACACAGACAGACATCTATGGAAATCAGAAAGGACGCAGTGATAAAGTTCTTTAATTAGAAAAGCGGCCGGGTGCGGTGGCTCACGCCTGTAATCCCAGCACTTTGGGAGGCTGAGGCGGGCAGATCACCTGAGGTTGACAGTTTGAGACCAGCCTGACCAACAAGGAGAAACCCCATCTCTGCTAAAAATACAAAATTAGCTGGGCGTGGTGGCGCATGCCTGTAATCCCAGCTAGTTGGGAGGCTGAGGGAGGAGAACCACTTGGACCCAGGAGGCAGAGGTTGCAGTGAGCCGAGATGGCACCAGTGCTCTCTAGCTTTGCAATGAGCTGAGATCATGCCACTGTATGAGCGAAACTCTCTCAAAAAAAAAAAAAAAAATTAATAAGAAAAGTGTGCCAGTATATTCGGTTAGGTGAAGGTAAGAAAAAAAAAGGCAAGCAAAGAGTATTACAGTTCCTTTTTAAAAAGGAAGAGATATACAGTGGACCCTTGAACAACACAGGTTTGAAGTGCAGGGGTTCACTTATACGTATATTTTCTGTCCTGCCTCTGTGACCCGAGACAAGACCAGCCCCTCCTTTTCCTCTTCCTCCTTTGCCCATTCAATGTGAAGATGTTGAGGATGAAGACCTTGAGGATGATCCACTTCCACCCAAAGAATAGCAATTACATTTTTCTTCTTTATAATTGTCTTAACATTTTATTTTCTCTAGTTTACTGTAAGGATACAGTGTATAACACACATAAACATGCAAAATATGTGTTCATGTCAGTGAGGCTTCCATTCAACAAGAGGCTATTAGGAGTTAAGTTCTGGAGGAGTCCAAAGTTGTATGTCAGTTTTGGACTATGGGTGGAGAGGGGGCGCCCCTAGCCCCCATGTTGTTCAAGGGTCACCTGTATAATACACATTTGGTTCTTTGCGTATTGAATACTTCTGGGCAACAGGTAACATCATTTGCTTCCAAGGAAAGGAACTGTGTGGGTGAGGGTCGGGGGGAGAGGTTACCTTGCAAATTTTATGTCATGATATGTATCATACGAACAAATACAGCTTAAAATTATAATCTGGGGGGCCGGGCACGGCGGCTCACACCTGTAATCCCAGCACTTTGGGAGGCCGAGGCAAGCGGATCATGAGGTCAGGAGTTCAAGACCAGCCTGACCAACATGGTGAAACCCCTTCTCTACTAAAAATACAAAAATTAGCCAGGCGTGGTGGTGGGCGCCTGTGATCACAGCTACTCAGGAGACTGAGGCAGGAAAATCGCTTAAACCCACGAGGTGGAGGTTGCAGTGAGCCGAGATTACGCCACTGCACTCCAGCCTGGGTGACAGAGTAAGACTCTGTTTCAAAAAATAATAATTAAAAAAAAAAAATTCTGGGCTGCACGTGTAAGGCTGGCCCTGGCTAAGGAGAGTGAAGTACAGAAACTTCTGGGTCGTCTCAGACTTTTCTGCCCAAGCACATCCGCAATGCTCCCTGGTTTTTCCCCACTGTGTGGAGGTGGCTTCAGGCCCCAGATTCCCACCTCTCCTAGGACGTGGGCTAATTTGCTTCCTCTGAGGGAGCAAGGCCTGAGCCTTATAAGTCTTTAACCCCTCCTTGCAGCCCAAGCACCTGCTGAAGTGGAAAATGTCACACATTAAAAAATGATCCCGCCCTGAGGTTTTGGGTCCAGGACACAAACTCCAAAGCTGGGCGGGGCGTGCAAGCCAGTGAGGTGCCCAAGTGTCACAGAAACTGCAGCTGGGATAGGAGGGCGGACAGCCTCTGCTTTGGGCAGGGGTCGGAGGCTATAGAGATGCGTCCAAGGGACAGATTCTGCTCAGCTTTTGCCAACTGTTGTCAAGCGTTTCTGAGGAGTGCAGTGCTGACGGATTACATGATGACTCGAGGGAAGCTGAAAATGGGGATTTCTATGCAAAGTGTCTCCATTTCTAAGTGTTGGCAATTAATTCAAGGTTAAAAACCATAATAATATAAACAATAACACCATGTAAGCCCAACAAACTCTTCTGCCAGCCAAGTCGGGCCCAGGGACCTCCAGTTGTGACCTCTGGTTCGGGAAGCTCCTGGGTGGTTAGAAGTAAATCTAGCCCACACCCCCTCCTCAGCTGCCAGCACACAGATCTCAGTCGCAGTCTGGGGAGAAGTCCCCGGCAATAGAAAGAGCCTACTCCTCCCGGATCCTGACACGTGGTTAAGGCGAAGGCTGAGGTCCCCACCAACCTAGAGGGAAACACGACTCAGCAGAAGGATCAGAGGCAGGAATGACATGGAGGACCCTGGAGATGACAGGGCTGCACCAAATTCTGCCAAGGATAATCCCTTCTTCTCTTTCTCCTTTTCTTTTCTATTTTTTATTTTTATTTTTTGAGACAGAGTCTAGCTCTGTCACTAGGCTGGAGTGCAGCAGCACGATCTTGGCTCACTGCAACCTCTGCTTCCCTGGCTCAAGTGATTCTCCTGCCTCAGCCTCTCTCGAGTAGCTGGGATTACAGGTACGTGTCACCACACCTGGCTAGTTTTTATATTTTCAGTAGAGACAGGATTTCACCACGTTGGCCAGGCTGGTCTCAAACTCCTGACTCCAAGTGATCCGCCCTCCTCGGCCTCCCAAAGTGCTGGGATTACAGGCATGAGCCACTGTGTTGGGCCTCTTTCTTCTTTACAAAATGTGTAACTTCTAAGAATACAACAGTGGCCATGTAAGATTCCTGGCCAGGGCATGGTGGGTCACATCTGTAATCCCAGCACTTTGGGAGGCCAAGGTGGGCCGATCACTTGAGCTCAGGAGTTCGAGACCAGCCTGAGCAACATAGCACGACCTTGTCTCTATAAAAAATAAAAAACAAAATTAGCCAGGCATGGTGGCGCACGCCTGTAGTCCCAGCTACTTGGGAGGCTGAAGCAGGAGGATCTCTTGAGCCTGGGAGGTTGAAGCTGCAGTAAGCTATGATCATATCACTACATTTTAGCCTGGGTTTTAAAAAATCCTATCAAAAATATTTAATCTGAATTTAATGATGAGTGGGGAAAATCAAGATAGTTTTTTAAAAGGTACCTTGTGGCAGGGCATGGTGGCTCACGCCTGTAATCCCAGCACTTTGCGAGGCCCAGGTGGGCAGATCACAAGGTCAGAAGTTCGAGACCAGCCTGGACAACACAGTGAAACCCCATCTCTACTAAAAATACAAAAATTAGCCAGCCAGGCATGGTGGTGGGCACCTGTAATCTCAGTTACTCAAGAGGCTAAGTCACGAGGATCATTTGAACCTGGGAGGTGGAGGGTGCAGTCAGCTGAATCGTGCCATTGCACTCCAGCCTGGGCGACAGGGCGAGACTGTGTCTCAAAAAAAAAAAAAAAGGCACAGCTTCCTGAACTCTCAAAAATGAGCACTGTGATGAATTTAAAAAAACAAAGGCTAGATGAAGATCGGCTGGGGCTGGGGAGTTTTCTCCCAGGTGTCAGCAGCCTGAGTGAGAGAAGGAAGGGACAGTTCTTGAGGCCAGCATCAGAAAACTGTCTCCCCAAGCCATGGTTTCAGGCTGAGTCCCCAAGGTGTGTGCAGAGGCAAGTCTCCTTTCTGGGCCTCCATAACGCACTGCCACGCAGGCAATCATGAAAACAAGGGATGGATTTCAAAGGAACACAGATTCCTTATTTTGTGTTCCAGTTATTCTCATTTCAACAAATTACGGTCATCACGGTCCGCCTTTATTTTGCTTAATAATGCAGTCCATGAAAATTTCCATCAAATCTAATGATAAATTAATTATGACATTAAAGTAAATTGAGCATTAAGAATGATGGAACGAGCAGACTTTTGGGTACTCAGAGGCGAGTCTGAATGCCTTCTGGAGTGGCCTGCCCTGCAGGTATCTCTCCCCTTTCCCTCGCCTTCCCTCACCCAAACTGCTCTTGGCCTTGCCTTCTTGTTGGGGAAACATTTTCCCACAAAGAAAGGACTTTCCCATGTCAGGAAGAGGCGTGGCCAAACGCGGGGCAGGCAGGAGGAAAAATGGGTCTTGGCCAGTCTTGTTTCCCAGAATCTTCCTGAGTTGACTTACCCTCGGAGTGAGGATGCCACCGCCCACCCCAGGAGGCCTGTGCAGACAGACCCTGCTAGCCAGAGTGGGAGACGGTACCAAGGACAGCCTCTTCAATGATGCATCCTGGCTGGCTCCAAGCCAATCATCTAAACGGCCATGGAAGTCCCGAGGAGGGCTGAGACCCGCCTAAGTACCGCTCAGTCCCCTTCCTGTCCCAGAGTCGAGGATGAACGTGCCTCAGAGTCACCTAGAGGACACAGGTTGCTGGGTCCCACCCCCCAGTGTCTGATTCAGGAGCTCCGGATGGGGTCTGAGTTCTCGAGTGATGCTGAAGGCCTGGGGACCACACTTTGAGAACGAGCATTCGCGATCCATTCAGCGGGGATGGGACGGCCCCTGGGGGAGACCTTGTGTCCACCAGAATGGAAGACAAGCCACGGAGATAAACAAGCCACAGGGCCCTGCTCTTAAGATCCTACATGGCAAGTGGGCAAAGGACATACACAGACACTTTTTTATTCTTTTTTTTTT